TTTTTTTTTGAAATTAAAAAATGTTTTGTAACCTATAAAAATTATTTATAAAGCAATAAGAAAGCTGTCCTCAAAAGCTGGTTTTCGTTTTGGTGTTGATTTTTTTAATTGCTTCTCACTATTAAGAATAATTTATAGTAATAAATAATTTTTTTTTTGCAGAAAGAAAAATTGCTTTAAGGAAGCGCTAAATCATTAAATTCCAAAGTGTTACTCTCCAGAAGCAGCTTGTTAAAATTGCCTGAAAGTTTTGAAGTAAAATGATGAAAGTATTGTCTTTCCCGAACCGACATTATTTTTTTTATTAATTTTTGGCTTTCTTATCATAAAAGCCAGAGAGTTTTGGAAAAAAACCCTTGACTCTTCCAAACAAAATCTACATATTTATAATGACAATTTTGGTTTGAAAATAGTAAATTGATATTGTAGTTATATTCGCAACTATCATATAAATCTCAGAAAAAAAAAAAAAAAAAAAAAAAAAAAAAAAAAAAAAAAAAAAAAAAAAAAAAAAAAAAAAAAAAAAAAAGTGACAGATTTAGAGAATTTACATTTATGTCAAATCGATGTCATTACTAAAACTGAATAAATCTTAACACTTCTTTCTCATTATCACAAAATTATATATTTATGGCATAATTAACATCCTCACAAAAATTCCTACCTCCTTGTTAGAAAATAAATCTTTCCATAAATTCAAATTTTGAATTATATGTATTATGGGAGTTAAATATATATGAAAGGGAGTTAAATCAATTGTAATGGTCAAAGTAAAATAAAAAGCTGATATCTATGAATCTTATGGGGGCCAATTTAAAATTTTCTTTTGAAAATAATAATCAATTCAACTCTCTCATAATCAGAAATTAATTTGAATCAAACAACACTAATTTAATATTTCACATTAGTATATTATAATAATTATTGAGCATTTATAGACGAGAAAAGATTGGAGTAGCTCAAGTAAGAAAAGATTAAGATTATAGGAGTTCCGACCTTAAAGAAAATTTTGGGGGGGTTTGGTCACGTAAACGTTCCTAGGCTTTACCAATCAAGGAGACGGCCGATTAGGAGGTAACCGTATTAGATTTTGAGATCTTATATGTTTAGAAATGTAGAGGCAGCACAAAAAAGAATTGGTTAGAAAATATTAGGAATGAACTTTCTTATTAATTTAAAAAAGAATTTGACGCTTAAAAGGACACAATGGAGAAAAAAAATTCATGTAGCCTTTTTGACCCCACGTAAGTGAGATAAAAGTTTGATATTGTTATTATTGTATTAGTTATATATAATTATAGAATGGTAAGATATAATTATGACTTGCATTGTTTAAGGCATAGATCTTAATCAAGCTAGCTAATCTCATATGTTAAAATTTCTAACAAATAGTGATGTGATGGCCCATTTCATTCATAACAAAAACAAATCCTCCATCTCTACAACTTATTAATTCTTCCCTCTCCGCTTAAAATTACAACAAAAAATTAAAATACACTACAGATCTCATCATTCCATGCAGAAGACAAATCCCATCCAACCTCGCTACTCACAAATTGGACAGAAAAATCTCTAATCCTTATCCACAAACACAACATCAATAGTCAATTCATATTTCTCTCCACGTTGACTCTCTTTTCTCTCTCTCTCTCTCCCTCTCTCATCTTTCTCCTCTGTGAACTATTAACCGCACACAAAACAATCATAGTTCTTCCCATTCTCTCCAGTTACTCTCCTCCCTTCTCTCTCTAAACTATATAACCCAAAACTCTAGTACTATATATTCGAATCATTCACAACCTTGAAGGCTTACCCTTCTCCTCGCATTCACATGTCCTCTGCAACAATGTACTTTGTCCTTCCATCTTCAATCTCCAACTCCAAACCAATCCATCCTCGCCAAAGCCCGAATGGCTGTTCTATGTCAGCCAACAAGCCTTCCAAAAAGTAGGAATAGGCTTAGCTTCAAACAGCCCATGAGTGCCTGACTAACCACCAATTGCTCTTCGCCTTTGATGCCTCGTAGGTGGAAAAGATAGGCTCCTTGGCTTTTTTTTCCAGCGAGTTTTCAGTGAGGCCGGAAAGCAAGATCGTCTTCAACAAACAATAACTGAAGGCTTATCTCCACACTGTAAAGTTTGATGAGAAAAAAGGTTCCTCCAAGGCGTTGTTGCTTTTCTGGCTATCTCTATGAAGGAGAAGGAAAACGGCTTTTTGCGCTTATGGAGAGGCTTATTCTGTCTCTTTGACTGTTAAGGGGACTTACACCTTTTTATTGTTCTGAAACATCAAGAAAGATGGATGGTGGGGAAGTTACCGTATTTTGATTTGTTATGATGAATTCAGTTCCTTTTTTTTTTTTTTTTGTTTTTTTAATTTGATCTGGACATTTCAATGTAATGTTTGAAGCTTTGTTTGATTTGAAGGAGTAGAGCGATAATCTTTGGATCTTTAACTTCTAGATAGCAAATGTTTGATAAGATCACACAGAGGAGGTGAAATTGGGGTTATCCAATGGAGCACCTTAAATTTTTTTAAAGTAAGAACCATTCAACACTTATTGACAGAAACTAATTGAATCAGTGAATAAAAAAAATCGAGAACAACTAATTTAATGTGCACTAAAGTAATTAATTACATAGAAGAATAAGATATACATAATGTGAATAATACTAATTATGTCGGGCTGTTTGTAGCTAAGGATTCAGGCCTGGATTTGAGAGCGGGATTTGAGCGAAATCCAGCCAAATCGGTCCTAAAATGCAAAACAAATCTCAAAGGCAAAAACGAAATCCTCCGAAAATCCAGCTGAGGTCGGCTCTAAATCCGCCGGGTTTCCCGAAATCCTGTATTTTGCTGGATTTTACGAATCCATGATGCTAGAGAAAGATTGGCTTAGTAAACCTGCTTTGTACCAAGACAGTCACATGAGATTAAGAAAGATTTATCATGAATGTTTAACCAAACAGTTTTTAGGATTTTAAAAACCCTCTCAGATTTTTTCTCCGAAAATCGCCCAGGATTTAGAGGATTTATGAAATCTACTTAAATCAATCCATAATGATACTAACAGCCTCTAAAAATGTTCGTAATATATATTAGAAATGATTGCTCTCATGCTATTAATATGTCACTCACAAAGCAAGTTCAACAAAAACAAATCTCGGAGCTTCGTTGTGATGACATTTTTACTGCTTTCTTAGAGCGGTTCAGTTTAATTTTTGTATTAAATAGTTGTTTTAAAGAAAGCAGTAAGAAATTCCGTTTCAAAACAAAATCTCTAATCTTAACTAATGGATTAATAGAATAGATTACACATCAAAGAAGCACCAAGCTTTGTTTGCAACAACATGATCGAGAGCAACAACGAAAATGACAGTGACAACATATGCATCTAAACGTAACGAATACACGAAGTCCATCGTCAAAAAATTATATGAAAAAATGTGACATTTAAACATTAAATTTCTTGACGAATGAACGAGGGTGGATTGATGATTATATTCCATTTTCCTCTTATTTTATTTAAAATATGTCAAAATTTAATAACATAAAATTAAAAAGGGATTAAATAATATTATACTTTTAAATATATTATCCTAAACGTTTCGGCACTACAGACTCACAAACACAACGTCTTGGTTAGTATTGCTGCTTCTCCTCCCCCCTCCGCCTACCAACGTTGCACTCACCGCTCTTCCTCTTATTACAGTTGCATTTTGCTGCCCCTTCCCACTCTTAATATTCTCTAATTCACTAAGCAAGTCTCTATGTCTAGAACTACGTCATCAGGCGTCATATAGAAGTAAAGTCTGATTTTAGCACAAGTAGAATTCCAAGAGCCCAGTTGCTTCATTCGTTTCTCTCTCCGGTCTCTGCATGGACTAGTAATATTCTGGCACAAAGGAGGAAGAGAGAGTAAGATTCTTTGTTGGGGTACTCTATGGGAAAACAAGATTGGAAATTTAGCAGTGTTTTTGGTTTACAAACTAATGTCCCACGTACATAATTAGGATTATATACAACCAAGTAGTTTCTTAAGGGTTATAGGACTTCTTTTTAATAAGAGAGCGGATAGTACACCGGTGAGCTTAAATTTTAGAGAAAAGTTCAGTACTTATAATATTGTACAGGTGGAGTAAAGATTTAGGAAGATAAGTGAGCATTTTATTTACGCCATTTAATTGAGTTGGGGGAGGAGTGCTGCTTTAGGAACTTTTAATATAGGAAAGGATTTGTTTAAAAGGAAGCCGGATCAATCTCCGTCAGGTCAAGATAAGTTGCCATGATATATGTTTGTCATACATTGGACCCCTTGCCGATCACTCTCATCACACTATTTCACTAATCAGTTGTCATTGGTTGACAACGCATGACACATGACCATTAATCATCAAGCAAACTTTCATCAACAGGAGACATCCATCTGCAACCGTCGCCCCTTGGACCTACTATTTTAGATTTAATGTCATCACAAGACTATCACACAATCATTGAATAACTACTGACTTGATCATGACACCATTGGAATCAATTGTTGTTGTCGCAAAAACAAGGACTGCCCCACATCAAATCAGTATTACTAGGTTGCTCTTGTGTTTTGACCTACAAGTCAAAGCATTTCCCTTATGCCTTTAATGTCCCCAAAGCCCTTTCGCAATACTATGTAATAGTTTTATCTGTCCTTATAACTATAGTAATAGTAATATGTTAGTCTTCAACTTAAGAATCCATACCGCCAAACCTTTAATTTATCGTTTGACATAGTGAAATCACTATACTGTTATCGTGTAGGATGCGATTTTTTTTTTTTTCAATTTCTATTGTTTACATGTAAAAATTTGCGGTGTTACTACTTTCAGCTCTTTTCATTTTATGTGTGGGTTTTGTGTGTATTGTATCCTTCATGAGAAGTAAATGGACTATAATAAAGCGCACATTCTCAATCTAAACCATTTGAGATCAGCAGAAATCATCCAAACAACCCAAATAAGCTCTTCTGGCCTGCAATTCATCACATTGATTTCATCTTTCAAAATCACCAATACAATCAACTGAAGTCAACAATTCTTTCAGAGCCAATTTGAGAACCAAACTTCACACTAAGTCAACATTAAATTTTTCTCTTAAACCCTAAAAACAAAAAAGCTCTGAATCACCATAACAAAATCAATTAACGGTAACTTTTCCCACCATCCCAGCTCCCTGATGCGGAGAACAATAAAAAGTGTAAGTCCCTTTGGCAGTCAGAGCGACCGAATAAGTCTCTCCAGGCGCGTTGAGCAGATCCTCCTCGTTCATAGAGATGGTAGAAGCGACAACACCTGGAGGAACCTCTTCCTCGTCAAAAACCACATTGTGAGGAAACCCGGCATTGTTTCTGAACACAATCTGCTCTCCAGCGTTCACCGAAAACTCATTTGGAACGAAGACTAAGGAGCCATCGCTTGCGCCCAAGAGGACATCAATGGCGAGAGCGTTGGTGGTCAGTAGCGCACTCACGGCTGTAGAAGCCAAGCCTATTCCGACTTGTTTGAAGGCTTTGCTGGCAGACATGGAAAGAGCCATTCGGGCTTTGGGGAGAATGGATGGTTTGGAGATGGAGGTGGAGATGGAAGGGAGAGTTATTGTTGCAGAGGAGGACATGGTTGAATTTGAATGTGTAGCAGAAGGGGGAGCTGCGAATGTGCTCTGAGTATTATTAGTTTGGCTTATATTGTTGAGAGAGGAAGGACTAAGGAGGTTAAGAGTTTTGGATAAGGATAGAGATATCTTTCCATTTGCGAGTGGCAGATTGGATGGGATTTGTGTGGATGAGATTTTTTAGCTTCTATTATCACTCTCCTCGTGTTAAATACTGGGTATCCAGCGGTACTGAGTGCGAGTATCGAGCTGAGTATCCAATAATAAGGTGACATGTCACATTTTTATTGATCTCCGAACACCCTCCGATTTAGGGTTAAACACTGGGTATTTAGCGGTACTGAGTGCGAGTACTGAATGCGAGAACCGAGTGGTTAAACCCTGGGTATCCAGCGATACTGAGCAGTACTGAGTGGGTATCCAGTGATACTGAGTGCGATTACCGAGCGGTTAAACACTGAGTATCCAATTGTACTCCGCTCGAGATTTTGTTGCTGTTTTTTAGTTTGTTTTTATGTAGAATAAAGTGATGAAGTTCACTTTGGAGGATTTTAGGAGTCACTATCCTGACTTGAAGAAATTGATTAATTAATTTAGTTCGAATTTAGGATTATAGATCAGTTGAGATAGACTAAAAAGATACATTTTTTTTTACAATTTTTTTGTTATTTTACCATTACACACTTAAATTTTAATGTATTTTAAATATATTTTCGAACAATAAATTGTAAATATTTAGGCTCATTAAGCTTAAATCGAAGTCATTTATAAGCCGAGCTGAAGTAAACTCAATGAGAATTTGGTGAGAAAAAATAGTCTGCCTACCTAACTGAA